TCTGCTGATCACTCTAGCACGGCAGACAGAAAATGCAAGAAGATGTGAAAAGGAGTTGAATCTAGCAATGTCCCTAATCTTCCAGAAAAGGGGTGGAGAGGGTGGCATTTGATACTGCTTAATTCGCAAAGCATTCTGCAATTTTTATGCCTACATTCTTATTTCATCCATACTAAAATCATTGCAATGGACAAGATAGATATTATGAAGTCCATTATGCAACAAAACAAAAACACACACACACAAAGAATAAACTAAGATTTAGTGTTTTAAAACATCACCTGAAGTTTCACTACCTAAATTGGTAGAGCTGGAAATGGACATTGGTTCTTCTAAACCCAAGGCTCTTTCTGCTCCACCTGACCTCCTCACTCATTAAGTTTTCAAATCCTTGATCTCTTCCAAAAGCTAATATCTGCTAAGATAAAAGACAGCTCTAGGATACACTTCTCTCATCTACTGAAACTGAAATCAAAGTTGTCAAATCAGCTAGTAGTAAATCATTCACCCATCAGCTTTGTGACCCTTGAAGAAGTTATATATGATCTCTAACTCCGTTGTTTCAACTTCAAAATGGAGAAAGTATTAATACAATAGGATTGCTTTGAGAAGCAAAATGATAACGCAGGTACAACACTTGGCATAGTACCTGCATATATTTAGTGCTTAACAAATATTAGTTAATGCAACTGTTGGTTTCACGCTTGCATTTCATGCATTATTAGTAAGGGTCATGGCTTCATTACACAGACATCCTGGGCAGGACTCTTCTGTTTGGGATGGTCCAAGGAACATAAACAGGAGAAAAGTTGGTGGGAGTTTGAGTTTAGGTGTGGGCTGTTGAGATTCTGGAAAAGGAATCCAGGGGTGAGATATTTATTTCATCAGGGATCCAGAATTGGGAGTAGGGCTTGTTTTCATAAAAGCAAAACTACGAATACTTTCATATACTATTCACCTTTACTGAATGGATCTGTGTGCCTCTTAAAGTTTATTCCGCAAACATTTCCTGAGCACAAAAATGGACCCTAAATTTGCCCTGCTACTGTTCCTGGTAGAGGTGGCCTCTTGTATTCAGTATTGAGCTTAGGAGTCAACACTGATTTTACACATTTCCCTGGAATTCGGAGCAGTTGAAGAGGCTGAGAAGCAGTGGAGAGATGCAGGTAAAAACCCCCATTTTCCCTTGAAATCACTGGCATAAAGGAAGTCTGAGTGTGCAAACACATGACTGCTCCATGTTGGAAAAGTTTCTCTGAGAATCAAGACTCACAGTCTTATGCTCTGACCTCAACTTTCCAATCATGGCTTTGGGAACGCTGTGACTCTGACTGTCCCTCCACATATCCTAGTAGCTACTTACACTCTGGGGCAGAAGATGGAAGAGTCCACCAGTTTCGCTTTTTGCCTATCCACTCGACAGGTTCTTTCTCACGCTCTTTTAATTCTTCCTTTTCTCCACCTCTTTCTTCTATTTCTGCAACTCCTCTTATTTCCCATCAGCAATAATAACTACTAACCATTTATGGAGCAATCACTACAGGCCTGGCATTACTCTAAGGAATCAACAGTTATTATTTTGTTTAATCCTTACAATATCCTATGAGATGGATCCTATTAATACACACATTTACAGATGAAAACATTGATACACAGAAAGTCAGAGGTCATTTAACAAAAAGTAGAGGCAGCAGAATTTAAACTCCAATGCCCTTGTACTTAACCACCAAGTCCTGCTGCCTCCACCCACCTTGCTGCTGACATAGAGTAAAATACTGGCCCCACTACTGATGGTTATCATATCTGGAAATTTGACAATGAAGAGTGATGATTTATTTACTTCAAGCAAAACAGGATTATTCAGGTAGAAGCTTCACCTGTCTCTACACCCACCCACAGAGGGGTAGGGGCTGGGTCAAATCCTTGCCCATAATAGAAATGCAGGCAGGCCAGCAAGGCAGAATGTCCAAGCAAATAACCATCTCCAGACATGGTTCAAGTACTATTCACTTCAAAGTGATTGGAATTGACTTAAATTAGCTTCTTTAAAACAAACAAAAATCCAATATCAAAATGATCTTGATATCATATTGGATGTAGAGCATAGTCATGGAGCATTCCAGCAGTTGAAACTTAAAAGTCCAAGAGGTTAGTGGCCCCTGCTGGATACCTGTCCATGGGTAACTGGACCCCAATCATCATCCTGGGGTCAGAGACAGGATGCATGCCTGGGGAGTGGTGCTGGCAAGAGCCATCCTACCACTGGTCTGAAGTCCTTGCATAGAGGGGCCTTCAAGATGAAGACAAGGCCTCTGTTCTAGAAAGATATTTGAATAGATGACTATCATAAGCATTCAGAAAGAGCTTGAAAGCAGAAGCCCAGCTATAAAAATAGAAATAAATTATGTATAGGAAAAACTGATTATCAGGATATCAGCTCAAAAACCTAGTTTCCAAACAGAGGCCAGAAAGCTGCACACTGTTATAATTCAGGACTCTGGCAGGAGAAAGTAAAGGCCCACTGATCTACTGAAGCAGCCCTGGAGATCAATATGGCAACCAACAAGGTGGCCAGAGTACCTTCACAACAGGAGCCCAGTGGTCAGTGCTAGGCCATTCAGGCTACTAGAGTATTCCTGAATCAAACCTTTCTTGTCTTGGACCATGGAGAGGGATGAATCTGCAAGTTTGGGGATAACTAGACTCACTATGTAGAACCTAGAAAAGAAAGAGTGGTGAGCAATCAGTTGGTGGGCTGATGTTGGTGGAACTGTCTGGGCACCCACATTTCCTTTGTTATACTCAATGTTCAAGTGTATGCTAGTGGAGGGGAGGAGTGGTAAAACAGGGGACGGCCATGACCCCATCTCTGTTTTGAGATATTATGTGTGTGCGTTTTTGTTTTGAAGAAGCTGTTTCACGTCAACCCAAATCTCAATAAAGATGACATAAAGTAAAAATTCCAGAGGAAAATAGTACACTATCCTACCGGGGTAGTAGGTTCTTTTTTCTTAAAACCTCATGACCAAGGACTTTCCATCCTTGTGGAGAATGACACAAAACTTCCGGCTGCCTAAGCATTTGTTTCCTCTTTCTCTCTATGTCCCCTCACTCAGTGTGACCGGTTATTTATGTAACAGACTCTCCTGTGGGTGCCTCGGGGTAAAGCGACATCTGCTCACCCTCCCAGGCCTGCAATACTCAGGGAGGTTCCACCCCCACTTTTTGATCTAGGAGGCAGTGGATGAAGAAGAGGAGGGGAAGTGTAGCTAGTGCCAAAACAGAACCAAAAAAATGCTTATTTGAAGGATCCTAAGAAAGCAAGGGAGTGGAGGTGTCTGCTAAGCAAACAGTACAATCTTCTCCATTTCTACTCTTATTAATAGCCACATTTTGACTTTCTCTAACATCTCCCCAATACGCCAACCCCTTTTTTGCTCTTCAGAGTTGTCTGGGGCTCTATTTTAATCTCTGTGATGATGCATATTTTTTTTATATAACAAGCACATACAGTGCCTAGTATATGCCAGGTACTGTTTTAAGACGTTTACAAATATTAACTCATATAATCCTCAAAACACTTTTATGAGGTAAGTGGTACTATGATCTTCATTTTAAAGCTGAGGAAACTGAGGCATAGAAAGATTACTATCTTTCCCAAAGGCTAATGGCCAGTATCTGACAAAGCCAGGATTCAAGCCCAGGTAGTCTAGCTCTTAATCACTAAGTCATGGTGTCTGGCAGAGGCCAGGCCAAGAATGTGCCTCAAGACAAGACTCCCTTGGGGTGTCTGGATTCTTCTCCATTAGTATATCCACTGGAGAGTGCTCTCATGTTGTCTAATCCCTGTAATTCCTCAAAGTGGCAGGACACCTCTGTTTTATTTTACTTACCAGCTAGGACCATGAGACTTAGCAGGTAAGTGACATTCGTGGTCATTGAGCTAGTTGATAACAGACGCTTGATTAGAACACGTTTTCTCTTTTCTTTTTGAACAGAGACTTACTCTGTCACCCAGGCTAGAGTGCAGTGGCATCATCATAGCTCACTGCAACTGCAAACTCCTGCGCTCAAGTGATTCTGTTGCCTCAGCCTCTGAGTAGCTGGGACTACAAGCATGTGCCACCACGCTCAGCTAATTTTTCTATTTTTTTGTAAAGATGGGGCCTTGCTTTTGCTCAGGCTGGTCTTGAACTGCTGGCCTCAAGCAATCCTCCTGCCTTGGCCTCCCAGAGTGCTGGGATTACAGGCGTGAGCTACAGCGCTGGCTACAGAACATGTTTCTTGATCCCTAATTCAGGATAATTTTACTAACTATACTGTGGGACCCCATTTTGTGGATCTATATAGATTTTCTTTACAAACAGTATGGAATATTGGAGTAAAAAGAAGTTACAATTAGCCATCTGCTCCTTCTTATTAATCAACTTATACCCTTAACCTTTCACACAGAGACCCAGAGACCAGTAAAGAGTTCTGTCTTGCACTCACTCTTTTTCTTGCTCAGTTTTTTTGCTTTGTTTTTTTTATTATTATTGTTATAAAAAGGGTAATTGGATCAGTAGCAAAAAAAATTATCTACTATTTATTCTTTTTGTTCAATAAACATTTATTTAATAATCATCCACTAGTTGTTGGGGCAACAGCAGTGACTGAAACAAAGACTGCATTCTTGGTAGTTGCATTGTAGTAGGGGTGTGTTGGGGGGAGATTGGAGAGACAATGAATGCGCATGCCGTGCTTTAGTAGTGATGACTGCTATGAAGAAAAGTAAAGCAAGGCAGGGCAACAGAGAGTGATGGGGTGGGGGTCGCTCTCCCTAGCACCTCTCCCCCACTGGTGTCTTCTATTTTAAAACAAAATCAAATAGATTAGCTTTACTTGACCCTCTAGCTACTGTCCTATTTTATCTCCTTTCTTTCACCGTCAAGCTTTTCCTCCACTCCTTACCCTCTGTTCTGTCAGTCCCCTAGGCTCTGGCCTCTGATGGATTGTCTCACTTGCACTACATTCTCAAAGGCCATCGGCGACCTCCTAACGTACAAATCCAGGGCCATTTTCAGTCTGTATCCCACCGAACACTGAATTGTTAGACATCAGTGATAATCTATCTCCTCCTTGAGACCTTTCTCCCCTCCTGTTCCGTGATGCTGTCCACTATTGGTGCCTCTCTTCATTTTTACCACAGTCTATTCAGTTTCTATAAATGTGAGCACTGCTCACAAGACTCAGTCCTGGACATCAGCTGTACTCTTCCTGAATGACCTCTCCTCCTCAATCACCCCTTCTCTGCGGATGATTTCTAAACTCCTTGGATTTCAGTTTGACAGTAAGTACCAGACACACTAAAGTAAGAATGGCTTAAAGAAGGAAGAAGTTTATATTTCCTGCTCATGTAAAAAAAGCTCTGGAGTTGGCAGTTCATGGTTGGTAGAATAGTTCACAAAGTCATGGGGTCTCAGACTTCTGTCTTCCTGCTCGCCAATCCTCAGTGCTTGGCTTCCTCCTCATGACTCAAGATGTCTGTCTGAGATCCAGCTATGATGGCCTTCCAGACAAGGAAGACATGAAGAAAGCAAATTGCCCTCTTCTTAAAGACACACAAGTCACACACAGCACTTCCATTTTCATTCTGTTAGGCTGAACTTAGTCCTATGACCAAAGTGAGCTAGCAGAACGCAGGACAATATAATCTTTATCCTGGATGCTATGTGCCCTGCTGAATATTAGGGATTCTACTACTAAGAATGAAGGAGAGAACAAATATTGAAGAACAGTTGGCAGATTCTGCCACAGCCACCCAAATGATATTTCAAGCCCATTCTCTCCTTAAGTTCCATCCTTCCAACTGCTCACTTAGATGGTCCACTATCATCTCAAATTCAATATTTCTAACACTAAACTTGTCTTCCCCCTTTGACTTCTTTCCAGCATAAACTTTATCAGTTTTCCAGTATCTCTCAGTTTTCCACGGACACAAAGTAGAACCTCAAAATACATGTTTAACAGTTGAATTCTATTAGTTGCCTCCTTATTTCTTGCCTTTCTTTGCACTGTCTCTCAAATCCAGCCCTTCCTTTCCACAACCATTATCATCCCCTTGTTTATGTCCAGGTGGCTGCAGTAGCCTCCTAAATGGTCTCTCTAGCCCAGCTTCTCTTTTTTGTTATTCTTTTCACACATCACTACATTACAATAATTCTAAAACATTTTTTTAATCTTCATCCTCACTAACTTTAACGGCACCCTTCTACTTGTGGCATAGACTGCAAACGCAAGGCTATCTCAAATCTAAACCTAATTTGTATCTCAGCTTTGCCTCTCTCTACTCTGTTATGCAAATCTATACTCATCCAATTGACATCACAAGTTCTGCTTCTAAACTTTTATTCAGGACCTGAAGCACCCTTCCTTTCTCTCTCTCCATCCAGTAAAATTCTCTTTGCCCTTCAAGATCCTCCTCAAATTTTACTTTCTCTGAGAAGTTTTTTCTTTTATTTCAGCATATTAAGGGGGTACAAATGTTTAGGTTACATATATTGCCTTTGTCCTCCTGAGTCAGAGCTTCAAGCACGTCCATCCCCCAGATGGTGTGCACCATACCCATTAGCTGTGAATATGCCCATCCCTTCCTCTCCACTCCAACCTTCCTGATACCCGATGAATGTTACTACTATATGTTCACATAAGTGTTGATCGATTAATACCAATTTGATAGTGAGTACATGTGGTGCTTATTTTTCCATTCTTGTGAT